GACAAAAAAGAGCAAAAATAGAGCTAAAAAGACCAGAACAAAGCCAAAAAAGCAAAAACAAAGTTAAAAATGACCATAGATACACCAGAAAAGGGGGGGGGAAGGCTGAAAAGCCCAGAATAAAGTCAAAAAGGCGATAACAAGACTTGAAATGATGATAAAACACAGCCAAAAATCAGAAAAATGCTAAAAATTACGAAAAACACAAAAAGAAAAAAGCAACAAAAGGGTGAAAAGACCAGAACAAAGTCAAAAAGGCAATAAAAAGGCTTGAAACCATCACAAAATACAATTAAAAGTCAAAACAATGCTAAAAATGACCAAAAATACAAGAAAAAAGCAAAAAGGGCTAAAAATACCAGAACACAGTCAAAAAGGCTCAAACGGATCACGAAACAAGATAAATGTTTTTTTAAAAACGCTAAAAATGACCAAAAATACAAGAAGAAAAGCTGAAATAGAGCTAAGAAGACCAGAACAAAAGCTAAAGGAGCAAAAACAAAGTTAAAAATGACCTAAGATACAGCAAAAAAGGGAAAAAAGGCTAAAAAGACCTTAACAAAGTCAGAAAGGAAATAACAAGGCTTGAAATGATCACAAAATACAATTAAAAGTCAAAACAGCGCTAAAAATGACCAAAAATACAACAAGAAAAAAGCGAAAAATAGAACTAAGAAGACCAGAACAAAGCTAGAACGGAGCTAAATGTAGCAGCCATCTGAAAATATACACCTGCTATACGTGGTCTTCGGTTTAATGGATCATGAGACGTGGATGTTCAGAGTGGGTGCCTGCGCCTGGAGATTTAATCTGGGCTGCATAATTGATGGAGAGACACTGGAAAGCTCACAGATCATTAAATGCGATGGTAGAATTGCCAAACACTCCTCGGGATAGTTTACGATCTTCTGTTAGAGATCCTCACATCCAGGCCCTAAGACACCTGAACGGACTCGTTAAGGCCGCAGATCGAGCCAAATCCCTCCAAATAAAAAGGCTTCTGTCAACTTTAAGGATTAGAGAGAGCAGGTCTGCATGGGGAAAAGGTTTCCTAAATTTAGGAAAAAGCTAAATTTGAGTTTGGTGCAACGTGAGAGACAAAAAAGCTGCAGGAAAAACCACTTAGAGACACAACATTTGG